TAAAAACTCATACTCGCACGCTCGCAGTTTGTTCTTCTTGGCACTTGAACACAGATCTTCTTTGTCTCTTGGCTACAGAGTTGGACACACACACACACACGCACAACCACCCAGCCGAAAAAACTTGCGCCCAACAAACCGAGTTCACAGAATAGTTCCGGGAAGCTTGTGATTATAGAGCGCTAGTTTGCAAAAGCAACATTATCTCTAGCAACGCAACGCACCCGGCAGCTGCTTGCCACAACCGGAAAAAGCTGCAACGTACGTCTGCAGCACTTTTTCCCAAACTGTTCGCGCATGATAAAGCATTTCGGAATGCCGAGCTGCCAGTCGCACAAGTACTGAAGCATGGCGGCGCTGAAGCTGTTGCAGTTGTTGTGGGCTAGGTCATACGTGCCTTCGGTGAACATCGGGTGCTGCCTTCGCGCGCAGAAGTACGAGTAAAAACACTGTGCATCTTTGCTGGGCCGCAGCCTCTCCAAGAAATGTGCAGTCTCGGCCATAGTCTTGCTGCTGATCCCCACGAACCTTCGGTTCAGGCCCCAACGGCAGTGTCAAAATGCAGGTTCTGACTTGAGCCTTTTGTCTATCGGCCGCCCGAAGGCTGTCCGCCTCAGGGCACAGTGGTGAGGACATATGTAGGACCTAGAAATGTCTCCGGGTCACGGGCCCAGCTTGCGACACCTGGATTCTGCCCTCACCGATGTAATACTCCATAGCCCACTCTTCGCCTCAGCCGACAGGCCATGCAAGGCCGGCATCACACAAAGCAATGAAGTTTGCTGGGGAAGCGGCGGTCATCCCACTTAATGACCACGGAGGTATGGTAGAGGCCCTTTGGCGAACGGCCAGCACGCAACGACACGAACGGGTTCAAGAACGAGGCCAAGGCCCGGATGGTCTGGCCAAGGACCGCGTCAGACAAGTAGCAGGCCCATCCATGAGAGATATCATACAGGAACAGATAAACGTTCGTCGCGATGGGAGATCTTGACTCCAAGGTCGGGGAGTGCCACAATGAGCCCGGCTCGCTTTCAGGCTTCACCTGGCGGCATCACGTGTCAAGCAGAACCTCCAAAGCAATTCGCCCGGCCTCAATGCTGGTGCAACTTGCAATCGAGCTGCAACCTTGCAGACGGGGAATGAAGGGGCTGAATGGAGCGAGATCTGTCACCGACCCCTTTGGGCTTCACAAGCCCAGGGGGCGCCTTCTTCAGGCCGGCTAAGAACCGACGCATCGACGTCCTTGCAGTGCTCGTCAAAGTGTGCATGACTACTACATCTGCCTGTCCATTTGCACAAAACAAAAACCGACCCAACAGGCCTCATCCGCCAGGTTCTTGGCGGGGGCCTGCGGAGTTGCCCCAGATGCACCCAGGCCTGGGCAATTCATGTCTATACGGCCGTTAAATGACCAGACACATGATAGATAAGCGCACAAACTCTACTATGTCAGAGACATGGAGTTTGACGGCTGCGGAGCTGGGCATAAGCATGAGCCATCAGGATGAACCGATTTGCGGCGACAGGGAACGAAACATTGATATGCTTTGATAATCGCACCACCATCGCCCTCGGTCACCCTCAGTCTTTGCTGTCCATGCTTTGGGTGAAGTGTTGCTACATAGCTCTCTCAGTCACTTTGAGTAATGTGTTTGAATACACCTCAACCAACGCTGCCTGCCATGTCATGAGATGTTGAACATCCCAAGCCTCAGCACAAGGACAGAGCCTACCATAAGGCTTAGGCTGGGCAGGGCCGACAGAACTCGATCCGGAGAGTGTTCGTTGAGGGCGCCCGCATCACCTTTCTTCAGCACCAGTTTTCGAGAATGTTCACGTCCAAATACCCCTGGCTGTTCTGAGCGCCCAGCTCTCCTCCGTGATGCTGACCTCACCAAACATGCACAGCGCCAGCCAGCAACGCGTACGATGGAGCCAAATCCGCCTGGCTCCAAAGATTGTCCTCGTACTTGTGCGTGATTGTGTGCCTGGACTGGGTTCAAAGTCCAACTGCGACGATCGAAAACGAAAGATTCTTGAGGAATGAACCCAACATCAGCATCCTGCAACTCCTGCAAGGTTGGAGAACAACAGCACATCCTTTCTCAAGGCGATTGATTACATTGACCACATGCGACGACTCGTTGGAAACTTGTATGAGAATTTCGGTGAGTTGGGAACCTCGGCAAACAGGTCCAGGCGCCGCGTTGTGGATTCCAAAGTCGCCCAATCACAATCATACTGTGGGTCGGAGGACTCGAATGGCTCCAAATTCTTGTCGTCCTGCTGCGAGCATCTGCCAAAACCAAAGATCAGGTTCACCAAATGGCATGAATTGACATGAAATGGGGAACTGGTGAACCATCGAGCCTCGTCCAGCAACGAAACGCTTGTAGGTTGCTTGGAATGTGAGTGGCCTGCCTAGAAAAGCCAAATCACAACGAACAACACCGCATTGGAAGCATGCAAAAGCATTGGACAGCAGGCCTCTGCATTTTTGCAACGAAGACAAACGGCCACTTCCGAGATGATGCTTTCGCGTTGCTGATTCAGCATCTCTCGCAGCTCGCCAACAAGTTGTACTTGGAATTCGCGCAGCTCCTTGTGTCAAACAACAGCTGCCCTCGACAACGTGTCAACAGCAAGGCACGCGCTCACACCAATCCTGCATCAAGAGTGCTTTGACCTCTGAGACCTCGGAGATCATGATCACTGTCGCGCGGGCGGTGGAGGAGAGGAGGGAGTCTGAGCCACAAGATCTGAGCAGTCTTGTGGCCCACATGGTGATTTTCGCTGGCACCCCCCTTTAACCTTTGCATCGCAGCATTGCTTCAAGCGGCAGCTCTTCAAAATTGCCGAACCCCCATACTCACACGTGCCAGTTGCAATCCGTTGAACATATTGCACCAGAGCTGGCTCAGGCCAGCCCTTTCATGGACGTTCGAACCGCAAATCTTGCGATGGCTTCCTCCTATATACACTGCGAATTCATTGAACTCACCCAGTTTCCCAAGAGGGCTTCCTAAGCCCCGATTCTCGACCGATAGGCTTTAGTTGCTCTCTGGGAATATTTACAGCAACTACACACGCCACAGCTACCTGGCAGTCGGAGTCTCCGTAAAAATGCCCAGCATGCCGAAGGCGCAGTCAAAATGATGTAGCAACACTTCCTGCTCTAGGCAATAGCGGCAGACGCCCACATATCCTCGGGTCATGATTCTCAGCTGCACGCCCGAGGCTCTGAAACTGAAGAAAAAGTCACTCAGCACATGAACTCGATCAGGTCCTGATCAGGGCAGGCAAGTTTGCTAATGAGTGTGTGATTGAGAGATATATGACATGACATACTCATATATCGCGCCGGAGAATCAAACGATTCAAGAGCGAGCGCTTTGCATAGCACATAGCCAGAAGCTTGAATCCTGAAGATGTTTGCAGCCTACTGTGGCAATTACTAGCGCGCAGCACTTACCAAGGTTCTTCTTTCACGGAGTGTGCTATGCAAACCTGCCAGAGGGGTATAATGGAAATGAGCATGGAAACTATCAGGATTATATTGTAGGGTTTACGGTTTAGGGGTTTATGGTTTAGGGTTTAGGGGTTTAGGGTAGGGTTTAGGGGAACCCTAAACTGAACCCTGAACTGAAACCCTAAACCCTAACCCTAACCCCTAAACCTCTAAGCCCCTAAACCCCTAAACCCTAAAAACCCTTGAACTCCTAAACCTTAAACCGTTGGGAAGCAACAGAAACGTGTCGACCTGACATCATCATGCAAAGCCTCTCAAGCCTCACCGTCACCCACGTCGTACACGTTGAGGAACACGGGAACTTGCTTCAGCCGCGCCTCCAAAAGCTCGTGGGCCGCTTTGTACGTACCCTGAAGCTCAACCCCGGCCTCTGAGCGCCCGCGGCGGGTATCGGCTGGTCGAAATGCTCGCGGCGAAACCCTTTAACGACCCCATGGGGTTTGGTGCAATGTATCGTGGAAAACATGTGAATGTCTGCTGCCACTCTTCATCCAACAAAGCCAACAGGAAGCTTCCAGCTGACTGGCATGGAGTGTGCGAACACGTGTGGCAGTGCAGCAGCTGCTCACCGAACAACATGCAACTTCTTTTGAGACTGCAGTAGCCAGTGAAAGCATGCTCTGACGATGCGAGGTATGCCACGAGGGCGTCTGGCCTCAGCAACGTGTAACATCTGACCGGCAAAGAGGATGTCGGCAGCCGCTGCTTACATGCTTTTTCGCGTGCATGTAGCCAGGCCTAGTCAGGTCTGCAAGATCTTCCAAATATGCAGCCATTTCCTTGCCAACATACGTACACGCAGAGCAGCTTGCTATGAACATTGAGATGGTGAGCGCTCCTTGGGGTCCACGAAGGTGCGCGCGCGGCTACTGCAAAGCTCGCGGACCTTGTGAGGACGGGATGGTTCAGGTGCTCGAATGTGCTCGGCGGGCAAAAACTTCAACACATCCCATTGAGGGCCCCTGAGTGAACGCCCTTTGAGCACAAAGGCTGAAACCCTCAACCGTTCCCATTGTTACCATAGTTCACTAAGCTGCTGCTCGAGCTACGAGGGCAAGTCCGCCCACTGAACTTCCACAGAGCAGTCCACATGGTCCTAAAAAAGCATTGTCGCAATGGCATGCCCAAGACAGCTCTCTGCGCATGCGTTGGTAGGCACCAAACATTTGAACCACCAAACGTCGCAGGACACGTAGCAGGACACGGGCAAGGCTCGTCCTGCAATCCCGACAGAGCAGCGTGGGTCAATGAATAGAACAGTTGACAAGCACCTGTGCTCGACGACTTCCTGGACTTCTCCCACTCAAGTTTGCTTCTCAGTCCTTCTGGAGGCCGTTGCTGTTGAGGGCGCAGGACCTTGGCAAACAATGCAAACCTTGGAGACTTCGCTTCAAGCGTGGCCAAGCTTCCACTTAGATTCAGGCCGACCGCAAAAGAAATGCAGGAGCCCATCCTGTAGTGAAGTTTAATGTCAGGCTGACAGTGGGGTTCGCGAAAGTCACGGAAGCTGTTGAGCGCGCTGAGCCCCAATCCCAAACACTCAAACTCGGCGGCGGCATTCCGTCGGGCAAGCTCCCCGCATCTGGCCCCTGCGAACCAGCGATGCTCGGCATCGCACCAGCATACACACGAGAACAACGAACGTCTTCCTGGCCGATGGCCTTGTTTTCGACCTGCAACTCAATCTCCCTTCCATCCTGCAGTCGTAAGGTTTGACCGCACCATATTTTTTACTGACATGTAAATTGGGATTAACCCTCGAACAACACTGGACCTGACTGACGCACTGGAACTTCACTGTGTTTGTTTCTGATTTACGCAGGACATCGCAATGCCGGAGATACAGGATGTTTCTGTGTTAGATAGCACAGAACATTGGAGAATAGCTCACATCTCCGATCAGGAAACACAGGTGGGCCGCCTGGCGCTCTCAGCAAGTCAACAATGCCGTCGATGCTCTCTCGGCTTCCCAGGCCCCTTGCAAGGTGTGAGCGTCCCTCCGCATCCCTCCCCATGAATGTCCCTGATGGGGCTTAGGGTTCGGCGCCGTTCCCTGCGCGCCCTTACTGCTGGCGCAAGCCACCTTTTACACATCAGTGACGGGTGAGCACGAACAGCTAGTAACAGCGTCCCCTTGCGGGCCCTTGGGCCTCCAAAGCTGGTAGCCAAGCTGGCCCGTGCAGGTGTCCAGGACCTTCGGGCTCAAAGCAGAGTCAGCAAAATTCTGCAGCTTCTGCAAGAGGTGAAAGGTCCCAGACATGGCAGATGCTCTTGAGGAGCAGACCATCCCAACTTGCTCACTGACATCGGGCGGGAGATCCCTTGGCAAAGTGGGGTAATGTTGCGCGCTCGCTTTAATAACTTTAGTAGGAACGACCCCCCACTTCCGAAACAAATATGATGCCTGCCCTCGAACCCTCTACGAAAAGAACCTTCGCGACCCACCCGACCAAATTTTGGGAGGGGGGGTGGTGGAAGAAAGCATTCCAGGGCCTCAGACCCCGCATGCAAACTCAGCTTTGGTTCAATGAGCTAATGCCTGAAATTTTGGGGATTTAAAGCCTGAGGCGTTCCTGTGTTGCTAAGACCTCCCCTAGCCGGACCTTTGTAATATACAGGGTGACCCAAACAAATCTCTAACACGACTCGGGCTGGCCTGTGGACTACCTATCACGAAATTTGTTTGGCCTTAAGCAAATTCAATTCTGATGGACCTGGATGCCTGCAAGTGTGACCGTTCGTAACCGCCCATGCCCTCAGAACATCAGGGGAGTCGTGTAAAATGCGTCGCTCTGGTCGAACGCACGCTTCATTGAGCTAGCATTCACCCAGCATTCCAGCTCCCCTGACGTGCCAGGGACATCGTGGGAACTTCTGTTCTAGTCGACCGCTCTCAACCCAGAGCAGCTATCTCGTTCTTCCGAGAACCATCCAAGCTCAGGGTACAGCTCATCTGATCTACGTAGCGACAAGCTGGGTGGCGACAGTGATTACCATGTCAGCGAAAGAGACGTAAAATGTTTGAACATTTCTTTTTTGCTGCACCATTGGGAAGGCGAAGGCAAACGAAAATGTTTGAATTATGAGTTGCAAACGCATTCTCACTCTCACGGACCCTCCAAACAAGAGTCGGAACACGGGAGTACCCAGCAACAACGAGAGCTTGTTGTCACCACGAGGCTACAAGAATCCCGAACCCCTCACGCTGCGCAGTCCAAACTTTACACCGTTCGCACGAGCCAGTGCTGCTAGGTCAGGTGAGACATTTTGCCTTCAACTCACCAGCGGCTGTGGCTGCTGTCCAAATGTGTCAACGGTTCTTTGGCATGGAACCACATGAGGCTACAGTTCCCGGAGCTTATTTACAATCTTGACTCTGTCACTGACGCTAGACTGACGCTTCACTGATCTAGATTGCTTCTACGGTACACTCCGGACGTAAACAAGAAACAATTGGTGAGGCTTTGAATCCTGGTTGTGCAAAGCTTACCTGAGGCCAGGTAGCAGTCTCGGCGCTCGAGCATGGTCGCATCTAGCTGGACTTCATATAAAGGAGTTTCGTCCGTTCACGGGCTCCAAGAAGGAGATGCCCCGAGGGACTCGAGATTCACGCTGTGCAAGAGAATGCAAGCAGCTCAGTCAGGTGGACGACAAGGGTTTCTCTTGTCGCTGTTCACGAATTCGGATGCAGTCGACCGTGCTCCATTGCGCAGGCCTGTTAGAACAAAAGCCTCAAGTTTGTGCAGAATGGTCTGGCCATGAGCAGTTGCCACTTTGGGATCACACTGTCTCCGCTCCTCCATTCAGCTCTGATTATGGTTGAATGTGGAGTGACACTTGGTTGGCAACCTTTGGCCAGAAAATCAGGGTGCACCCACATTGTCCCGCGGAAGCGGATAGACTTTGAACGTGTGGCGGTTCCCCGCCCGGAGAAAGCCAAGCTCCCCACAAAGTAGACCATCTGGAGCGTTTTTGGCACAATGGAGTGGAGTGCTGCCCATCCACCAAGGCCATTTATCATGTCCGTCACTTCCTTGGCCAAAGCGAAGCATGACCTGAGCATGAAAGATACTATACTATAGTATACTAACTAAACAAGCTATACCATACTATACCATACGTCATCCCATGTCATCGAATTGTCTGTTAACGATCTTCCCAGCTCCCCTCCGTGCAGCGAGAACTCCACCTTCTATTCTTGCCCCTGCTTGAACAGGCTTGCGGTAGTAAGCAACTGGATATCGTACAAGCTAACAGCTACTTGGTCATCCCATTCATTCCTTCCATCTTTTGGAGGGCCCTTGGGGCCTAAAGCCTAAACCCTAAACTCAATACAGTGCTTGTTTTTGCGGGCCTGACGTTGAAACGAGCCGTCCCCAAGCCGAAAGACGAAGGTGGCAAGGCCCTCGAAAGCGAAGTTCAACTTGTCAGGGAAGGAGGCACCTTGGCACGAGAGAATCCCAGTCTTTGATAGTATAGTATAGTATAGTATAGTATAGTATAGTATAGTAGAGTTCAGCATCCACCAGAAAGGACACCGCGGAAACAGGGGGTTATTGTCGATATCCTCGTTCAGTTGTTAGGAAACCGCCCAAGCGCGGCCTGAGCATTAAGCCCATGGAAGGTTTCTGTGTACCCCAACATCTTCTTCGAAAACAGTACATCACAGTAAATCTATCTGAAGGTTGGGTCACCGTTCTGGCCATGCAGGACGCTGTCGACAGTGGCGCCAGCCTTAAACTCATCGGCAACATCCCTAGATGGATGTTGACCCACCCAGAAGGTCAGAATTGTCCCATCGGATCTAGCGGTGGATGTGACACACTCCTTCCGGATCGGCTGCCCTGGTGGCAAGGCATAGTAAAGGGGCAAAAAACGCACGGAGTCCAAGGTTGCCCCGTCCGCTCCTTCAAACACCAGCGCATTCTCCTGAAGTTTCGTCCCCTTTGTCCCATCGAAAGGCGTACAAAACCCATAATCCGCAGAGTAATACCAACGAGAGCCCATCGTGGAATTCACCACCAGCAGTGAACAGTCCTCATCCGCTGCGACCACCAGCAAGACAACCGCCCAAAGTCCAACTGCGAGCATCTGCCTACCACGGACCCTGGGTCTGAGCCGAAGGAACCAACTGCATCACAAGCTTCAGTAACTGCTGAACTTGACTGCCCGTGCATGCAATACTTCAGAATTAGTCCGGAAACCAGCGTGGAAATCCTGGGCGACATCTCCAACACTAAACCGAAGACCGCGCCAAATGCTCAGCCGTCCGCTATATGATCATAATGCCTGCGCTGGGCACCGAGCATATCCACTTGTGTAACTCCGCCGATCTTTTCAGATTGGTAGTGTCCCACACGGAACCTGCGTCTTCGTGGAGGAGCGCTTCGCCGTATCCTATATATATATATATATGGGCCTGGGCGAACCCTGTTTCTAATAACCTCGGAACGGACAGTCACCCATAGGCCGGACTAGTGCTAGCCTTCACAACACTCCAGACAGTCGAGTACTCCCCTGAAGATTCAAGTAGGCCATACGTCTACGTCCATGGCTGGGAATTCAGGATGCTCATGCACCTGAAGTTTCATCAAGACGCCATTGAGCCTACCGATGCCGACGCGGAGACTGAACCAGTGCACTCTGAGGGGCTGGGTTTAAACTCAATGTTTGATCATACACATGAGAATCAAACAAAGCCGTTCTGATGCAGGCAGTTCGTATGCGGTACGCTTGGAAAGTCTAGTGCAACTAGCACGGCCAGCCGTCTGAGCCAAAGCCAATCCTGGGCCATTCTAGGATTCGGCTTTAGGTCGTTTTGGCTAGAGGGGTTTGACAAGGATCTTAACCGGATTCTATTATGTCTAGAGGGTGCTTTAAGGTTTTGGTGGGCTTTTTATGCCGGTCTACAATGCGGTTTAGGGTTGGAGTAGGGCTTTGTAAGGTTGTTTTTTGCGCAGTGGCTTTCGCGGGAGGTTTCGGAAGGATTTGCAGGATCTGGAGTGGCATCAGGGGCTAACCCAGAGAACCCAATACCCCTGAATTACGGAATATACCTTAAAATATAGGGGGCTTAATACTATGGTTTAGAGGATATTCCTGAATTAAGGGGTATTGGGTTCTCTGGGTAACAGTTGAATCTGAACCTTGTGGATTGAAGATTGCCTGTTTGGGACCTTGGGAACCAAGGATTCAGGCTTCGGGTTCCGAGATGTATGTCTGAAAGGCAAGGCACCCCGAAAACCCCAAATCCAACCCCAAAACATCCCAAAACCAAAAACCCCTAACATCCTTCCAAAGACCCTGCAATGCAACCCCGTGTAGAACACCCCAACAAGTCCCTTTTAGAGAGCCTATGGTAAGACACTCGAAAGAATCCAAAAACCTAAACCCTAAACCCCTAAACCCTAAACCCAAAAACCCAAAAAAACTTAACTCTCTTCGATACGGGAAGGAAGCCGAAGCGTCTGCTCAGCAGACTTAGCCCAGGGAGGCAGCTCGACCTAGAAAGGGTTTATAAGGGCTTGGGTTTAGGGGTTTAGGGTTCAGGGGTTTAGGGTTTAGGGGTTTAGGGTTTAGGGGTGTAGAGTTTAGGGTTTAGGGTTTAGCTTCGGGGTCAGTAGTAGACTAGAGATGTGGTGCATAGTACGACGAAGATGACTGTTGGACCATAAGGGACGCATATAGCTCCTTATCCAGATGGGGTTCGGACTTTGGGGGTTAAGTGATGTATGGGCGTAGGGCCTATGCTTTAGGCTGAGGGCGTTGTGGTGTCGGGTTTCAGGTTCAGGGTTTAAACGTTTCGGTTTGGGCTCAGGGGCTAAGGGCGTAGGGTCCTGCGAGTTTAGACCTCTGTCGCTTAGAGTGTTGCCCAATGTGCTGTCCTGTCACTTGCAGGTTTGTTTTTGATCTTGGACTGTGTTTGGTACAATGCTCTGAAAAGGTTTCAGACTCGGATGCATTGAGATTTTGTTGTACGGTTATTGGGATGTAGTAGAAGAGTCTCTTTAAAGGCTCAGAAAATACGATAAGTTGTTTGAAAGTGCTAGCTGCTGGAACATAGGTGATCTGTGCGGGGCTTCAAGGTCTTACGGTTGCAGTGTTTGTGGCCAATCCAGCAGTTTCCGGAGACAATGGGCCACCAAAGCAAAAACCTGCAGTTCAGGCTAACGGCTCAAGGTTTAGAGTTGGGTTTACGGGTCTTGGGATTTAGGGATCGAGGATTCAGGGTTTGAGGATTGAGGGGGCTTCGCGTTTTAGCGGGTGTGGTGCTATGTCTAGGGTTCAGGGTTGTGGGGTTGCAAGGTCGCCACGTATGAGGGAATCGATCCAGCAAAATACACCGAAATTCCGAGAAAAAGAAAACACAGCCATCTCTCCGACTGCCCGGTGGGATGTTCCTACGGCCCTGAACAAAG